GTACCTGTTATTTTTCCATTAAAGAGTACAATATTTCATTTTTTCAGTAAGAGAACGTATACTGAGCACTTTCTATATAAAAATCACACACTGTGCCCTAGAGATGCAAAAATAGAGTCCTTTGTCCCTAATAAAATTACAATATAATAGAAAAAAATAATATGTTTATGGAAATTTGCAAGCTGATTCTAACATTTACATAGACATGCAAAAGCCAAAAGTAGCTAAGGCAATCTTGATAAAGAAGAAAGTTGGAGGACTTACACTTCCAGATATCAAGTTCTATTATAAAGCTATAGTAATTAAGGAAATGTGTTATTAGCATCAAGATGAAGAAATAGATCAATGGAATAGAATTTAAAAATTCACAAATAAATCTATGAATATAGAATCACATGACATATAGTAAAGATGCCACTGAACAACAGTGGGAAAAAGAAAGTCTTTTCAATAAATGGTGTGGGATCACCTGGATATCCATATAGAAGAATATGAATCTCGATTCATATCACACCATACACAAAAATCAAGTTCAGAGGGATTGCACATTAAAAGTAAAATAATAAAGCTTTTTAGAAAAACTGTAGAAGACTATCTTTATAAACGGGATCAAAAACCAAATCCGTTGCTGTTCACTCGATTCCAACTCATAGTGACCCTATCAGACAGAGTAGATCTGCCTCATTCTGACTTGCAGTGACCCTATAGGACAAAGTAGAACTTCCCTATAGGGTTTCTATGGCTGTGGCTCTTTATGGAAGCAGAATGCCATATCTTTTCCCCGCAGAGTGGCTAGTGGGTTCAAACTGCCAACCTCAGGTAGGAGCTTAGCTCTTAACCATGGTACCACCAGGGCTCCTACAAACTTGAGATAGACAAAGATTTATTATACAGGACACAGACAGTAGTATACAAAGTATAAAATGATAAATTTGGCCCTAATACATGGCATAAATAGTATACAAACCATAACTAACAATGCACAAACACCAGAAGAGAAACTAGATAACTGGGAGCTCCTAAAAATCAAACACTTACGCTCAACAAAAAACTTCACTGAAGGGGCAACA